GTCTGGGGGGACAAAGATCCAGGAACTGTCCTTGAAGTCTTTTCTGGACGGGGGCAGCAGAGTCGGAGGAGTGCCAGGGGGGTTCTGCTATCAGGCTGGAGCCACTTCCCACTTTGGCTCATTTGGAAAATGGTCAAGGGCCACACAAACCTGAGGGTGGCCAAGTGCTGGAGAAACAAGTGGACAGGCTAGGGTGAGGGGGGTGGGGAACAATCCCAGATGGGGGCAGGGCTCAGCCCTGGAGTGAGGCTCCTGCCAGCATCCAGCCAGGGCCACTGAAGGATCCAAAGGAAGCCACCTTCCCAAGCAGGCAACTGGGGGGGGAGGGGCCTCCTGGGAGGCTGGGGCTGAGGTTCTGGCTGGGTCCTCCTTCTGAAGCCTGTTTCTGCCAATGTGGCAAGGGGAGGAGGCCACTGCAGGTGTTCCTGTGATCAGAGGTTGCCTTGTATGGTCCCCTCCCCTTGTTGGCCTACACAAGAGTGGCTAGAGTCCTTGGGCATGTGCTCGGGGGGCCTGGCCCTGGTGACCGGTAGGGATGCCTGCCTGGTGGGGTTGCCATGGGGTTCTGAGGCTGTCATGTCTTGGTGAGCCTCCTCGGGCCTCATGGGTCTGCTGCATCAAGGGTAGGGAGTGCAGGCTCTAGACAGGGAGCAGGGCATCAGTAGGGTTCCCAGTGGCCTTAGAGGATCTCAGGGTCTCTACCCACCCTTGTCAGGCCAGGAAACAGCCTGTACATCTGCCAAGGCTGGGACAGGCTCCTCCTAAGCACGTGCAGAGATGGGAGCTCCCTCCCTGTCCTTCTGGCCCCAGAGGCCCAGACTATGGTGGTGGCTTCCTGCCCCCCACCCCCACATGCTCACTCATGAGCTGGGAGCAGCTTCTCTGGCACCTGCTCTGGGGGTGTATGTGGGGTGGGGGAAACTGCTGTTCATTCCTGCCTTGGGGAACCCATACACTATGATTTGGGGTGGCCACTGGGAATAGCTCAGGGTTCAGGGTCCTGGTGTCAAAGTAATGCTCCCACAGAGGGATTCCAAGGCCCTGCGGGGGCGGCTGGTGGGTAGGGGACAGAGGTGCTGACTGCATAGTGAGTCAGCAGGCTGGTCTGGGCTCAGCCTCCTTGAGCGAGATTAAGGGGGATTAGGTGCTGAGTCACAGGACCAGCAGCAGAGGACCCAGAAACATCCCCCCTATCCTCAGGTGGTGGGCAGCCCATGCCCAGAGGCTAGAGGCCCTGCTCCTAGGATGGGGGAAGTTAAAGCGCTTGGGGCCAGCCTGGGGCCTAGTGAGGCCAACTGTGCTCGCCGTTCTTACAGAAGTCCCCTGTAGGGAGGGCCCAATCTCACCTCACCCACCTGTGCTGGGACCAGTGGGAGCTACCCCAGGTGGATAGATGCCAGAGTCGCCTAAGGCATTTAGCACTGATGGTGCCAGCCCTGTCTATGCAGGGTGACCAGGCAGTGAAGCCACAGAGTGAAAGGGCTGTCTGCAACCCCCAGGTTGGGTTCAACCCTGGCCAGACTGGCCTGGAGGTCCCTGGCTCTTCCTGGGGGATTCTCTACTGTCCTCTGCAGGCACACTGCTGACCGCGCTGCCGGGGTAGCCTTGCTCCAAGCTCCAAAGAGAGGAGATAGGCACTCACAGTGAGGGGGCCAGGCAGCCTGGTGGGCTGACGGTGCTGTCTTGTTAGGAGGAGTTTGCCTTGGTTGCAGTTTCCATTTCTTCCCTGCTCACTGATGGGCATAATCCCCCAGGGCTGAGGGGTGGGGGACCCTGGGAGAGGTGAGGTGCCTCCTGGTCCACGGTGGCTGCAGGTGGAATAGACTTATGCATACTGCTTCCTGTCATGGACACCACTGAGCAAGGGGGCCTGACATGCACACAGCCCCAGGTGGAGCCCAAAGGCTTTTGGGGGAGTCACTTGGGGGAACAACAGGGGCAAAGGGAGGTTAAGGGAGCACACTGGGCTGTGAGGCAAAGAGCGGCCCCCATTGAGTGGAGGAGCCGTGGGCAGATTGCAGCTTTTGGCGAAGGAGGCAGCAGTGTCTGGGGGAGGAGACAGGACGCCTAAGGCAGTTGGAGTGGCTCAGGGCGGGACACAGCAAGTCCGCTTAGCAAGGCACTGTGTGGCCCGTGGAGGGAGAGGCCTGTGTCAAAGCCTGATGCCTCACAGGAAGGGGGGCAGCCTGGCTGCTGGTGTGGTGTTCTGGGACAGGTGCTCAGCTGGACCTGACTGAAGGTGGGGGGAGGCTGGAGATGCTCACCCATTAGGAGAACCTGTTTGGGGGTGGAGCCAGACCCCAAATACTCAGAAAGGGGCAAGTCTGCACTTCCTAACCACACTGCCTTCTGGTGATGTTGCCTGGGTTGGGGGCGGGGGAATGGGACCTGGGTGGGGAGGGGCTTGTGCAGGCATCTACCTGGGTTACTGGGTTCTCCAAGCGGCACTGACGGGTGAGGTGGCCGGGTGGGACAAAGGTGGCGGGCTCTGAGAGGGCCAGGGGCTTATCTCCATTATGAGTTTCCCCACTCATCTCGCAGGTCCCCCTCCCCTTCCACCATGGATCATTCCTCGTTCAGCGGCGCGCCCCGATTTCTGACCCGGCCGAAGGCCTTCGTGGTGTCGGTGGGTAAGGACGCCACGCTGAGCTGCCAGATCGTGGGCAACCCCACCCCGCAGGTGAGCTGGGAGAAGGACCGGCAGCAGGTGGAGGCGGGCGCGCGCTTCCGCCTGGCCCAGGACGGAGACCAGTACCGCCTCACTATCCTGGACCTGGCGCTTGGCGACAGCGGACAGTACGTGTGCCGAGCGAGGAACGCCATCGGCGAGGCCTTCGCGGCCGTGGGCCTCCAGGTGAACGCCGAGGCAGCGTGCGCGGAGCAGGCACCCCACTTCTTGCTGCGGCCCACGTCCATCCGCGTGCGCGAGGGCGCGGAGGCCACCTTCTACTGCCGCGTGCGCGGCTCGCCGCC